GCAGCTTAGTAGGACAGCAGGAGGTACCTAGTAGGACAGCAGGAGGTACTTAGTAAGGCTCCAGGAATAGGACCCCAGAAGGTACTTAATAAGACCTCAGAAGGGTCTTAGTAGGGCCCCAGGAGGGACTTAGTAAGACCTCAGAAGGGTCTTAGTAGGACCCCAGGAGGGACTTAGTAGCATCAGGAGCTTTTCAGGATGGGTCAAATTCTAGCAGCATTCTCTAGAGGCAGAGGGAAGCGGCTGTGCTTGACTGTGAGCAGGTAGGACCAGGAGGACACTGAGGTTATCATGAGTGAGAGAGATTGAACAACCATGTAAGTGAAGACATGCACTCTGAAAGTGTAGAATGGCGCAGCCACAGCTCAGGAAGCCCATGCTTGCCCTCCCAGGCTCCTGCTCACTGCAGTGTTAATGGGCTGACTTACTGTTCTTCAGAACTCAGGGTCCTATAAGCCATTTCCTCCAGATTGAAACACTCACTTCTGACGGGGGGGGGAGGGGACCTCAGGCAGCTTAGGAATAAATCTAAAAGGTTCAGAAAACTCCTGATAGTTAGAAATTTTGCAAGACCCTTCTCTAATGCTTCTCTAATGTTATAAAAGTGATAGGCAGTTGCTTTAAAGCATCCCATCCCCAATCCCTAGCTGCCAGCAAGCTGAATGGAGAGTCGCCCATGCTGGGGTGAGCTTTAGATGATGTAGCTGCCTTTGAGTCACCAGTGCTCTGTAAGTAACTCCAATAAACACACTGGTTCATTAGGTTGGGCTTGAGTGTAATCATTTGTTTGGTCTGTCAGTGCCCTATCTGGGGTGCATAGATGTAGTCTCTTCCCAGAGAAAGTTACACAACATTCTAAGGTGAAATTCAGCATCTAATTAGCTAAGCCTATACATGCCCTCCTGAGAGCATGCTATCCTTTTATACACCTCCTTTATATCTGCAGATCCAGACACATAAGCTTGGGAAGGAATATTATCATACCCAAACAGCCAACTCTGATCTGGCCCACCATTGATGAGGCCAGAAGCTGAGAATCCAACCTCTAAGATAAATGGGATCTGAAGTCTGGACCCAGAGAAGTTTCTGTCCCTTCACTTCACAGCTGAGTAAACTTGAAGTGAACTTCTCAGTCTCCCGGGTTGGCTCAGGAAGTGGGAGGTTCCAGTTCAAGGAGACACTGAGGAGGAAGGGCTGTAAACGGCTCAAGGAAGACTCTGGGAAGAGGCAAGTTCTCATGCACTCAGGGGCCAAAGGTCCTGGCTTCAGACCCAGCCTTCACACTCATGGTCTAGACCTCCAGCAATGTAGCTGCTCCCAAGCTCATTTTCCTCATCTATAAAGTGAAGATGATAATGATCCTTTTGTAACGTCTGTGGAAACGGAAGATGTGATTTGAACTGGTCACTAATTGGTATTTGGGAGATGAAACAACAAACAAAATGTTGGTCATAGCCATTCCTCTGAGAAAAACAGACCTTCAGGGGCGGCATGAAGGTCTACTGACTCAATGAAAGTCAGTCTGAAGTAATTCCTAAAAATAAGCAGGGCATTCAAGCTGCAGGTCACAAGGACGAGGTTTTTCAGTACGAGAAAATGCTGTCCAGCCACTCACAAACAGATGTCACCCTGTAGTGATGCTCTTGACTGGGAACTATATGCCCCCCTCTTATCCCCACCAAGTATGCCTCGTACTACCTGATGGTACAGCCTAAACCATGTAGACGTATTTTTATAATGGGCTCCCAAGACTGAGACCAGATGTAATATAGTATTAAATTTGATGAAAGATTTTTAAAAGGAGAGCAAGTTACTTTATGATGCCTGTATCCAAAGGAATGATTTGCAACAGGGCTACTGAAAAATGCAGTTGGGGGTGTTCTCTTCCAACCAAAGGGAGCATTAACCAGCAGTGAGTAGCTCTGGGATTTTGTTTGAGAATTTAAGAGTTGATAACAGCTGAATCTGTATTGTGTGTTGGAGGTGGAACACCCTCTCACATTTACCCCATTGTATAGGGTATCATATTTCCAAATGGGAGATTCTTGGAGAACTGGGCCTCTGAGACTGCAGATTTCAGATAGCACCAGTATTGAAAATGCCTCAGTGGTTGTGGTGGTTTGAATGAAAATGGCCCCCTTAATATAGGCAGAAGTTTCTGTACCAACCACCCACTCCCAAATAACCACTCAGAGACTTATTAATTGCAAACACTCAACTGATAGCTCAGGCTTATTACTAACTAGCTCTTACAACTTAAATTTATCCATTTCTATTCATCTGTATGCTGCCCAAACTCATAGCATTCACCTCTCCAGCATGTCTTGCTTACTCTACATCTTTAACATGTAGTTTTCCTCCTCCAGAAGCTTTGGTTTCCCCCCCCCCCCCCCGGCAGCTGCTTGGGCTCTGCCACAGTTGCAGTCCCCAAATAACACACAGGAGGCTATATTAATTATGAAGTTGTTGGTGGTTTGCTTGTTTCTTACTGGCTAACCCATAATTGTTAATCTAAGTATTTCTCTTACCAGAGAAAAGGGTCCAGACATCTTACTTCTCTGGCAGGCTACATTGTCTCTGTTGTGTCTCTCTTTCCCAGAATCCTCAACTCCTAGTCCCACCTATCTTGCTTCCCTATTGGCCAACAGTGCTTTATTGACATATACACAGGACTTCCCCATCATACATCTGGCTGGTGACTCTCTGACTCCGCCCTTCTTCCTCCCAGCATTCTTAGTTTGGCTGTCCTGCCTATACTTCCTGCCTGGCTACCAGCCAGTCAGTTCTTTATTAACCAATGAGAATAATACATGTTCACAGTGTGCAGGATTATTCTACAGCCCCATAGGCCCATAGGGGGTGGCACTATTAGGAGGTGTGGGCTTGTTAGAGTAGATGTGGCTTGATTTGAGGAAGTGTGTCACTAGGGGGTAGGGTTTGAGGTCTCAGAAGCTCAAGCCTGGCTGATGTTTTACTGTCCCTTCCTGCTGCCTGCAGATCCAGATGTAGAACTCTCAGCTCCTTCTCCAGCACAAGGTCTGTCTGCTTCCTGTCATGACGATAATGGACTAAACCTCTGAAACTGCAAGCCAGCCCCAATTAAATGTTTCCCTTTATAAGAGCTACCATGGTCATGGTGTCTTTTTACAGCAATAGAAACCCTAACTAAGGCAGGGGTCTTCCGGTAGCCTGAAATGCAGACCAGTTAGTTATCTCTGAACCCATTCTGGCTGCATAGGTGCTATTTGAAGACTAGTGATAACAGAGAAACCATTTAGAAAATGTGAGAATTACCTCTAAAGAGCAGCCATATCCAAAAAGAAAAAAATAGCAGAATGATACAGATTTTAAAAAGAGAACTGATCCCATAGTGAGACCGACAGCCTTGTAACTGTCTTACTCCTTTAGGTTGCTGGAAGTCAGAAGACTCAAGGTTGAGGAAAGCCAAGGGAGGCTTTTAAATAAGTTTACCAGCTTGTTTTTTCCTTAACATGATCAAGGCTAAACTTTTTGTAAGGAAGTTTTCTCAATAATAAAGGCAAGAAATTCCACCCTCAAAGATATTTTCCAGTTTACAGCAACAGCTCTGATTGCACAATATCCTGGGTTTTCTTCTAAATTAAATTTCACATTTGCAAATGTTGATAAACAAACAATTCCTGCTGATGTTCTTGGATTTCATTCGAAATCCTGGCTGGCTTGGGGGAACCCTGCAAAGCTGTTTTACTTGAAAGGGCTGGGTTGCCTCTGCCTTCTCTTCAACAATGCTCTAAGATCCATTCTGCCATCTTCCTTCCCTATCTGCTGTAGACTCCTAAATGCTCCTAAATGTTGACAGATCTCTGCCTCCTAACTCTGGCTTTCTCCTGAGTTTCCCTCCTATATAGTCAAATGCTTCCTGGTCCCCCCTACCTGGATCTCCCATTCTCAGACTCACCATAGACGTTAAGATGGTCTCTGTTATACACCCCCTCTTGAAAGGTTCTCCCCAACCAGTGCCAAGCTCCATCTGTGCACAGGAAACCTGAGTACAGTTTTAGAGACACACTGGAGAGACTCTGAGGGTAGTAGCAATTTGCTACGAGGTAGGGAGGTGGTGAGCAATCCCAAGAGACTTAAACTATCCTAGTGACACCAGAGTGTAAAGGAGTCTCGTATGTGGATTGTTAGTTAGGGCAGGATAGACCGTACAGAAATAACAAAGAAAACCAGTTTTAAAAAGGGAACCACAGCAGAAAACATGCCAATTGTCCAGCTTCCATGCAATAAAACTAGGGGTCCTGTCAGCCTCTGTTCTGCAACTTAGTGTCAAGAGTTCTGTATGTCCTAGCATAGGGACAAAGGAGAATGAACACAAAATTGGACCTCACTTAGGTCCCTTCTCATTGTTCTGCTCATTGTTCTGCTGCTGAGGGTGACTGTGTTGAAGGCTGTCCCAAGAGGCTGCCGAGAGCCACATGTGGTTGGGAGACCCCCGTGGATTTTCTTCACCCACAGGACGATTTGCTGGTCAGTGGCAAGGGAGCACAAGGCAGTTAACACAAACAGAAGACCCCTCCATTTATTTCTGCTTTAGTTTTTAGCATATCCCACAGATTAGGGACGGACATGATCTGGACTCATGAGTGTTTAAAGAATGGAATGGCAGCAATGAGCTGCTCCAGGCAGATCCTCTGCTCTGCAAGTCACCCAACAGGAAACCCTGAAGAAATTAGAGCCCCACAGCCTCAGATGAACTTTGAAGTGGTCATCAACATGGCCAAGATCCAGGTGGAGATCAAAGAGCGGTAGGTAACCTAGGGCTGCAGGATGAAGCGTGTGTTCCTCAAAAAAGGGGCTGTTTGAAGAGGAACCCTCAACTTCAGCTTTAGGGGACCTGAGGTGACCTTGATGAAGGAATCACATGCAGAGTTGCCTAAATAAAAACGTATTGACTTTAAGTAAGTGCTTAATGCCACACATAAAAAAATAAACACAAACAACAAACCAAAAAACCTATATTGTTTGTAGAAAGTCAGCATTTATTTTTTGGCTCAAAATTTCTCTAGTGTTTTCTGTGAAGGGAATACAAATTGAACTTAGCTGTTAAAAAAAAATAGAGCTTTGTCATTGTCCCAAGCTAGCTTTGAGAGAAACTAGAACAAATGCTCTCAACTGTTCAGGAAGAGGAAGTTGGTGAGCCAAGCAACCAGCAACAGGCTTGCTTATGAAGCTGTACAGAGTTAGCCTCCTGGAGACCACTGGGGATTCCAGGCGTGGAATGTGTCGTGGAGAGATGGTGGATGGACAGTGTCAGGAGAGAGGAAAGGCAGAGCTGAAGCCAGCTGCCCACTTAGAAGGGCGGGGCGGGGCGGGGCGGGGCGGGGCAGGCACCTGAGGGTCATGATGGGGGTAACCTGGCAGAGCAGGACTTGGTAAAGATGGGAACTAGAAGGGCAGGGGTGTGGTCAGTGGCAAAGCTTGGGGCTTTGGCCCCAGAATGAGCCTGGGCTGAATCCTTTCAGAGTTAGTAGAGTGCAGACTGGAGCCTGGGATGAGCCTAAAGACAACCCAAGAAGCTTGCTGTGGTGCTGAGATCTGTCCCCTCAGGCCCGGGTCTCACATTTCCTCACTGCAGGCCACCCAGCTCCACTGCTCGGTTCTGGGTCCAGACTTTCTCCTGATCTGCTGGATACCATTGATTGGCCCTTTGGCTTCTGGTGGGACTCCACCTTCAGCAGAATGTGTCCCAGCAGATTTCCACTGTGATAGTCCCCTGTTTGGGGCCAGATTTGTACCGTCAGAAGATAAATTAGTACGAAGGTAAGCCAAGGGTGTAGCTCGATAGTAGAGTGCTTGCCTAGCTTGTGGCCAGGCCCAGGGGTCAACTCCCAGGCAAACATTTACTAAATGCTTCGCTCCAAGCCAGACAGAGCTATGCATTTCTGTGGGGACTCATTATCTCCTCAGCCCAAATCCACGGGGTGGGTGTATGGCAGATGAAGGCACAAAGGGATATGGTTCTATAGTCACAGAGCTTCTAAAGTGGACAAGCAGAGCTCTAAATTCAAACGTCTGGTTTTTAATTACTGTGCTATACTAAATAATGGATGGGGTGTGCGGGTGCGTCGGGGACAGAGGCAACATAGTTTCGTGACCTGAAATAAGAAAGTGTGCGGGGAAGTTGTAATCACAGAGAAGGGAACCACAAACCTGGAGGCACCACCAAGGGAGAGAAGGCCTCCGCTTATGCATGCAGGCACACTGCTGGTTTTCATTGGTCAAACCGAAGGAGAGGGAGACGTCCGAATTTTCTGGGTGAAATTTGCCTTGCGCTGGCTGGTGGATGGAGACGAGATTTGAGGCCCCTTGCATTGCAATGTATAAGCTCTTAAGTCAGAAAGGTCCAAGCGCTCGAGGGGAGGGAGGAGTCTGAGTCAGCGAAGCTCTCCAAACAACTGTGGAGGGCGTTTGACCCGGCCTTTCTGCTGCTCCCAATTGCCAAAACCCCGGGGGCAGGCGGGGCCACACCCTCTGATGAATATGCATGACTCCCAAAGCTTCCTGGCTGAGCAGACTCCTGCGCTGGCCACCTGACCAGTGAATTCTAAGGCTATATGAAAGCGGCCCAATGCAAAATCATAAACGTTTTGAGATTTTAAAACTGATTTTCTCCTCGTGGATTCTGGTTTGTTTAATTTTGGTTCAGTGCTCCGCTGCCTGCACTTTGTAGAAGAGAAGGTGTGGGTGTCAGAAGGCTGGACATTCCTGCTAGGGTTTCAAAGACCTAAGTGCCTTTCTGACAGGGAATTAGAGGGAAGGCGGGAGCTGGCCTTCGACGACTAAAAGAAGAGGGGACTCACATGACGTGGACTTAGAGTGAAGTCCACAACTGCCAAGTTGAGCTCCCCTCACCCATTGTGAAGGCGCACCCCGCCCCTTATATAGGGCAGGTCTTTCAATCCGTTTCTGAGCCACTGTGGTGCAAGTACTAGAATTTCACAGACAATCTCTCTCTAGCCTTGGAGGCACGTGTACAACAGACTGGCTGATGACCAAACCTGCCCTGTTGTCTTCATAACTCACACACGTTGTTTGACACGTATGTCAATTAGTACAGGCTCCAATTGTCCTAATACCTGGTTGAGACACTGGTATCATTCTGAGTTATGGACTAACAATTTTTAAAGCCATTAAAGACACAATGGTTTAGAAGCAATTAGATTGGCCATGTATTAATATTTGTATTTGGTTTTCTGGATTTTGGTTGATGGAGATTTTTCCTCCGCACTGGCAATATTAGTTTGTGGTACAAGGCAAGCTTTGGGGAACTGGAGCCACTGTTTTCTGTTGCTATTGTTGCTTTAAGAGTTCACTTTAGAATTCACTTAACAGAAATTACTGGAAGATTCCTTGAGTATGTCTATTCCATTAGTTCCTCCATTAAGGGAGAGTCTCTGCTTCTTGCCTACAAACTGGAAATGGAAGAAATAGCGTTACAAAAGGAAAACCAAACAATAGTGGAGGGTACAGTATGAAAGCATTTAGCTTCCCCACCCACGGCTGTCCCAGAGCACTGACAGTGTAGTGTGAGCAGCCTGCGAGATGTCACTACAAGTGGGGCGAGGGTCACATAACACAAATGTCCTGGTAATGTGTTTTCTAGAAGTTACAGCCAAGTAACCATTGATCCCTAGTGGAATTCCAGATGACTAGTAGGAAGCAATAAGAATTAGCAGAGGTGGGGTGAGGAATGGGTGATGCTGACCGGATGGCCCGGCAGTTAGGGGCACCGGCTGCTTTTGCAGAGGACTCTGATTCAGCTCCCAGCACCCACATGGCACAGCTCACAACCATCTGTAACTCCAGTGCCAGGGTATCGGACACCCTCTTCTGACTTCCAAGGTCACCAGGCACACGCATGGTACACATATATGTATACAAGCAAAGCTCTCTCGTGCACAAAATGAATAGATCTTTTAAAAAAGAATTTACTAAGGAGTGGTCAAGGGACTTTATTACTTTAAAAAATTTAATGAAGATCTGAAATTTATCACAATCCAAAAGTAAACTAAAATAAAAAGTTTCTCTGTCTCTCCCATTCCCTCCCCTCCCCCCCAGATTTGGTATTCAAAATCTCCTGGCTGAGCTTATAAAAGTAAAGAGCCTAGACTTCAGCATAATAAGAGATTGCAAAGGTAGTTCAACTATCCATGAGTGTGTTTGTTTATGACTGCATGTCTATCTTTGTATGTACATGTACACACTACATGCATGCCTTGGGGCCTTATATGCCTTTGATTCCATGTTCTGTCACTTATAAGCTGTGTGACTACACTGGACATTTCTGAGTTTCACTTTTCACAATTGAAAAATGGGGCTATGGTAAGTATTTCATGTATATTGAAGAAAAAACATGTGACGTAAGTACCAACAAAAGGCAATCATTATTGATATTATAATTTAAAAGATAAAATTCAAATATAAAGGGCTGGAGAAATAGCTCATTGGTTAAGAGCACTGGCTGCTCTTCCAAAGCACCTGGGTTCAATTCCTAGCACCCACATAGCAGCTCACAACCTCTGTAATCCCAGAGGATCCAATGCCTTCTTCTAACCTCCACAAGTACCAGATATGCACATAGCATACAGATATACATGCATGCAAAACACTAAAAATATTTTAATTCAAATATAAATCAGGAAAGAAAAGAGATAAAATTTTAATTTACTGAAAGATTGATATATAATAACCAAATATCATGTGTCAGGTGCAAACTGAAGCTTCTTAAGATAATTGGCATGCATAAGCTAAAAACAAACCGTCTCAATTAAAGTTGGTCAGGTCCCATTTGCAATTCCCTAGTCCTTTTTGGTTGGTATACTTGAGAAAGAGCAAGGGAAAAGCTATATAAAAACTTCTCTTTGGTTCAAAATCCCAAACAATAATATCTGAGAAATACTTGGAAAAGATGATGCCTCTGTCTAGGTAAAGGAGTTACATAATGGCTATCTTCTGATGCTGACAAGATTTGATATGGAGTATGACAAGGTGACAAACAGTAGGATTGGAACAAATGATTAGTAGTTAGTATGAGATAAATATGCAATTCAACACATAGAACAGGTCTTTAGCAGTGCAATGAGTACTCTTGAAGAGCAGTAAACTCAAGAGTACTCACAGTAATTCCACAGCAGGTAGAATCCGGCTGTGAGGACTAGGGCAGACAGCATTGCCATACAAGAGAAGCAGGTAGCCTATCTTAGAGTTCATCATGCTCCCTAGCTGTTCAGGCGTGACTAATCAATGACCACTCTCTTTCTGGCAGAGCTAAACTCAGCCTGGCAATCCCTTCAACACAGTGCTTCAAGCCATGATGACTAATGACGCTGACTACCCGCCCAGCACAGATGATGCCTTAATGTCCTAAGATGCTAACTTCTAGAATTCCCCCAGTGTCACAATGGCATGTCTGTAAACTAACTAGAACAAAAGTCATAGTTAAGCACAAAAGTATTTCCAATTACTCATATGCACATTTGTTGATGTCTACATGTATATCTTTGCACACATCTCTACATGGGGATATGCAAAAGCATTTCTTGGTCCTAACCAAAAATGAAGATCACAGAAGGAAACAATGCATTGACCACAGGTGCCTTTAAACAGCGAGTCCTAGTTGTTATACTTCCTGATGCATTCATTTTTTAACCTCAAAAAAATTCAGACTTTTTTTTTTTTTTTTGCTGGGCATTGGTGGTGCACGCCTTTAATCCCAGCACTCGGGAGGCAGAGGCAGGCGGATATCTGTGAGTTCATGGCCAGGCTGGACCGACAGCTTCCAAAACAGAGAAACCCTGTCTCGTAAAACCAAAAAAAATTTTTTCAGACTTTTTTGACCTTATACCAAACTGCATAAAATTTCATATTTATTGCTTGTGGTGTCATATACCTCCATCCTAGGCCTCAGAGGCTGAGGCAGGAGAATTATGAGTTCAAGACCAGCCTGGGCTACATGGTGAGTCTGAGGCCAGCCCAGGCTATATAGTGAGATACTGACTCAAATTAAAATAAAAAAGATGAGTCTGTGCAGACAAAAACCTAAGGAAGAATGCATACAGAGAGGTGGCAGATAGGTAAACTCGCTGTCCTGATAGCCTTTCCATATTGCCTCCAAGAGGGAGACACAGTGTCGTGGGCTCATCCAGGGCAGTTTTTAATATAGAGCTCTAGTCATAGAGGAACTCCGACATGTCACGTGGGTGTGGGAAAGTTTGTGGGAAGAAATGAGAGGAAGCCTGCCGCCCAGCACTTCCATAGATTCCCAGAAAGGAAAAAAAGCTTGGGAGACAGGGATGGAAAGCCTGTGCTTGCTCTTCTTAACACTGGATCTGGACACAGAGGACTCTTCTGGGCAGGCCAGAACCTGACAGGGGAAGATGTCAGTCTGTGGCTAGGAATGCCGGATAAGTAAGGGAGAATGGTACATTGCGTGTCTCACGGCTAAAACTCCCAGGCATTAAATTATGACACCGTTTACAGCATCTTCCTTTGTCCACTGTCAAGATTTGAAAAAAGAAAGCTGGAAACAGATTCCCTTCGAGGACCCCTTCCCACCAAATGATTTTCAAAGAAATAAAATATTCAATCTAAAGGCTGCGTGTCAGATTGCCTGTGCTTAAACTCTGTCCCTGCCTTCTAGTAGCTGTATAAGCTTCAGGTTTCCTGTCTATAACATGGGGGTAATTTTTCTTAAGTGAAGCGTATATTTAACACACAGTAAGGGAAGGCAGAATGACAAAACATGGTGACTACTTACTGGCAGAGCAAGGCTCAAGACACCGGTGACCTATGCAATGTGATGTATCGAAATTAGAGCCAGGATTGCTTTTAAGAATCGAAGACTTCTACGTTCCCTTTTCCTTTCCTCTCTGATGGCTGAGATCATCTGCTTGGTACCTCCCCTCCCTGTGCCAAACTGACAGCCACGGCTCTGATTCTCTGTGGCCCCACAGTGACCCCACATTCTGGTTAACACTCCTCCATTGTGAAAGTCCAACTCCATCTGTCATCTGATCAATGCACAACCGTCCCTCAAGAGGTTAGTAAATGCCTTTTCTATGAAGCGTCCTTCTCTTTTAAAGCATAATGCAATGTTATAATTTGACTTTCAAGAGCCACTCAGGGTGGAAGGAATGTTCAGACAGGCCCATACATCAACATCTCCCTGCTCCTTCCAGAGCACCTCAACTATAAATATATCGAGATGAGTCCTAGAGCTAGCAACACACACCTAATGATTTTCCACTTCTAGGCTCTCAAGAGCCCTTCTCTTAGAAAGCAAAGCTAATGTGTTTGTTCCCATACCATCCCTTTGAATAACAGGCAGAGGCTGTTATACTCAAAAGGAAAAAAAAATCATCTAATAGCGCAAAGTAATCCAGGTGGAAATCTGTTGCCCTCCCAACTCTTTCCTCACAGTCTACAGGATTCTATAGGTCTGGGTCATAAAATGCAGCCATTTTAAGACTCCTAGCTCACCAGAAGGAGAGCTATTTAGAAATTAGGTCACGTCTTCGGGCTTCCTGCCAGACTCTTGCACAGGAATAGGAACATCATTGCCTGAGTATCTTTGAACACAAAGAACAATAGCAGATAATGTTCTGTTGCGAAATGCTGAACAGCTATATCCCTTGTGTGTGGGGTCACTTGGAGTAAAAATTTCCTCACAAAATTTAGGGAGCTGAGCAGAATGCTTTCAGTGTCTGCCTTTATAAAATAGACTATTTCTGGTTTCGTTTTTGCTATTGTAATTTACGTTTTCCGCGCTCTGAATTCCATACTGTGTAACTAAAGGTGTAGGCTGCATAGATGAGCCTCTGTTGTTTTTTCTCTCCTCGTCTGTTTTCCCATCCTTATATTGGCTCTGAGATACATGTAAATAATGACAAGGATGACTGCTGGAAGAGTTCTGACTCCTTTAGTTCAGTCCTTGGAGCATCCTTCCCCCTTAAAGCATGATGTAATGTCATGATTTAACTTTCAAAATCCACTCAGAAGGGACTAAGACACAGGGCCAGATATCCAGCCAGGACTTTATGTCATCAAGGGGCTTTCGCAGATGTAGTTCCCTGCTCTTTTCAGGGAAATGAATAAGTTCAAAGTCCCACAACAGGTAGCACATGGAACCTGCTGACCTCAGTTCATTGCCAGAACCTGTTCATGATGGAGTTCCCAGGACAGTCTGCAAATATCTAAGTTTGCAAATCATGATCTGAAACCCTCTGGAAAGACGAGTCCAGTAAATACTTCATCAGCCTGCTGTTCTTTGAAGATGTGCGGCCTAAGGTGGCCTGGCCAGCTGACAGTTTTCAGATAGGAGAACCAGACAGGGAGCCTACCGGACTCCCAGAAGTTGCAAATGGACAGTTGTCTTCAGATGCATGGCATGGGACAGAGCGTCTGCTTCTGGGCACAGAGGTGCGCTGTGGGCTCGGGCAGGCAAGTGAAATTTCCTTCTGCACATCTCAGTTAGACTTTGAAACTATCAAGAGTTTCTTGTTGCTTTTCACAAAAACTGCTGCCAAAGCATTTCAAAACATCGTTGCCTAGTTGTGTCTTAAAAGAAAAAAAAGCTCCTTGGGGGACACAAAGTCCTATTCCAGGAGAGATCAATAGGAAATGTTAATCTGTCAGTAATAAGTTATTGTATGTATTGATTTCCATGGCTTTTAGGGCTCTTAGTAGTAACCGAGGAAAGGCTAATCATTCTGGAATGTGTGTGCCCTTAGAACATAGCTCCAGGGAGTAGGGAGCTCACTGCTTTGTGGACAATATATTGTAGGGAGAGAAAATTTCCTTTAATGTAATGGGATCCTCCATTTCAACTCCTCCTTAGCATTTATAAGACAAACAATACCAGGAATGGAACATTTAGCAGCCATCTGCTTTGCATGCAGAATTGGACAGAATGATTCACATGTAGCAGCATGCTTCTTTAATCTTTTCTTTAAAATACTGCCAGCAGCATTGTTCACTGAAAGTCTCTCTTTAGTGCAGACACTAGCTAAGACACATGCCAGACCGCAATTCCCCTGTCACGGTCCTTATGAGCAGTGCTGGCTATGAAGCTATGTTTTCAGAGGCGACGAAGATACTGACACGTGAAAGAGAAAAGATGCAAGAGAATTCTGGAAGCATCTACTACCTGTGTTCCTTAGTAGACTGCATTTGTTCACCTGCCACAGGCTCCCCTCGTTCAGGCTCCTCTGTGGAACCTTCTCTGAGCTCGTGCTGCAGACTCCTCCATGGCCTCGCAGCGAGTCACGTGACCTTCCAGCGAACCTCCAACTTTCTGCCTCACCCACTTGATGCTTGTGACACTGCCCAGTTGTCGCTGGTGCTGTGCTGAACACTTCTTTGAGGTGTATCTTCTCCATCCCCACAGGCCTCATCTGGCGGGATACTCAGCACATTGCGTGCAGTCCCTAAGTAGCGATCTCATTAGCGATCATCACGATCACGCCCCAGTTTGACCAAAAAACAACCAGAATGCAAAGCGAGTATTGGTGGGGAGAAGAACGGGACTCCACCACGGGGTTAGCTCTCTGGCAGCCACTGTTTATTAGTGTATACTTAGAAGAGCTGCTGAACCGGGAGGAAGCCTCAAGGAAAAGCACAGAGAGCAAGGAAAAGACAGAAATGCACAGCAGGCAGACTTTTATCAGTGTGTTGCTTCCTGATACCATCTGTCTCCTCCTGTCCGGTTTCCTGTTTCCTTCCACTTCTTGGCGCTCTTGTGCTGCCCCGCCCGTGTGTCTGGTGCAGCTCTTACCACTGTTTGGGTGTAAGTAATCAGGAGAGGACGTTTGAGTCTGGGCTACACTTGACTTCAGAACTGGGTCACAGGGGTTGCACTTAGGTTCTTAGAGGAAGCATTTTAAGCCGGGCTTTTATTTAGTGTACGTGCATATGCAGAGGTCGGAGGACAGCACGTGGGAGAGTTGGCTCGCTCCACTATGTGTGGGTCCTGGGGATGGCATTCAGGTCCTCAGGCTTGGTAATAGCCAGTTCCATACCCACAAAGCCACCTTGCTTTTAGAAAAAGGAACTGGGAGAGGATTTTGAAAAGTGGCAATCATCAAGGACTTGGGAATAAGGGGGTTCAGTTGTCCCTACCGTTGGACCCAGAAAACAAAGTGCAGCCTTGACCGGGGAGAAGAACATTGTCCCCACCCCCCATATGCTGGATCAAAATGAGACGCAGGCTGGAGGACTAACTCCTTTCCTACTCTCAAGCTGCTTGGTGTTGTGATGCAGAGGTGTGGAGTATGCTCCTTTAGAAACTGCTGGTCGGAAGGCAGTAAGAAAGCGAAGGATGGGGGAAGGGCCGGCAACTGGATGTCTCTGGCTGAGTTAAGCAGGTGAGAGCTGTCAGGCTGGCACCCCAGACCACCTGGGAGGAGACTTTCAAACAAGGGACGTCTACACCAGATTGGCCAGTGGACAGGACTGTGGGAAATGTCCTAGCTAAGCTGATTGATTCGGGGAGACCCAGCCTCTGTAGGCAGCACAGCTCAGGGGGTTTTGACTGTGAACGAGGGGGAAAGAAGGAGGCAGAGAACAAGCGAACAAACCGAACAAACCGGGTGAGCAGGCACACACGGTCCTCTCTCTGCTCTCCACTGCGGATGTGCTGTGACCAGCAGTCTCAGGTCTCTTCAGTGGTCACTTCCCCACAGTGATGGGCTGAAACTCGGAACTACGAGTTAAAACTAGCCTTTTCCTGGTAAGCTGCTCCTTAGTCAGGGTTTCTATTGCATGACCAAAAGAAACTTGGGGAGGAAAGGGATTTTTTAATATACAAAACTCAGGTCATAGTCTGTCACTGAGGGAACCCAGTGCAGGAACCTGGAGGCAGGAACGGAAGCAGAAGCCATGGAGGGAGCTGCCTTGCTCCTCATGGGTTGCTCAGCCTGCTTTCTTATTCCACTCAGGACCACACGCCCAAGGGCAGCACTGCCCGCCTCTGCCCTCTCTCCCATGGTCCTGGCCCTCCTACACCAATCGCTAATCAAGAAGATGCCCCACAGACTTGCCTGCAGGCCATCTGATGGAAACATCTTCTCAGCTGAGGTTCCTCTTCCCAGGGAACTCTACCTTGGGTCAAGTTGACAAAATACCAACCTAGCCACCAGGACACTTTAATCACAGCAACAGAAATGGACTTGAGAAGGTCATGTGGTCTCAGCCCCTCTGTGGCCTGCTAGTCTTGCTGTCTTTTAATTCTTTTGGAGCAGGTCAGTTTGGAAAACAAAACAGATTCTCTACTATGAGCTATTCTGGAGACACGGCAAGTCATCAGAGTTTCCTTCCTTGTCAAAAAGTCTTCTAGAACCTTGAGGCTGCAGTATGAGAAGCCTAGTATAACAGTTAACATTGCTTTCCTCCACTCTTAGATGAGAGTTCTGAAAATAAACAAAAGAAGCAAGAAGTCCCAGAGTCCTGGCGTCATGGTGGCTCCAAAGGAACAGATTTTGGTAGGGAAGAGAGCTGAGGAGTCCTTATGGGATTCCACGTGAAAAGTCCAAGTGCCTACTTATATAAGCAAGGCAAAGCTTAGACTATGGTATTTTCTCCAGGGTTATGTTTGCATGCACGGACTGGCAAAGCCTGGGCCAACTGGAGCGACCCAGTAACTTACTTCCCCATTTTCCTTCCTGTTTAGTTATGGAGACAATGATGATACAAACTTTAATCTCACAGAAACTGCAAGAGGGCCTTCACCAGCTAAGAGCCTCACATTCACAGGAGGAAAGAAAGAATGAAAGAGAAAAGAAATTACTCGATGATTACAAATATTAAGGGGACCTACTTTTTTTGGCAAATGGTAGGACTTCATTCCAATCCAAGACTGATGACAATGTAATCTATTCCCATCAGGGTTAGTTGTTAAAGTAGCGGGAGGATATTGGAGATATTTCAAAGATACTCGAAGAGATGGCTGTGTTACTGAGACCTAACTCATGCTCGTGAGTGGAACACATTGGCTGCCTGAGCTTTGGTGTCTGTGCTAACATCTTTGCGAAATATTACAGTCACACCTCATGTGTCAAATGCTGTTATCGTGTTATTGATCATGAGGCCTGCAGGGATTCAAAAAGAGCTCGCTATCAGGGAAGTTTTTAACCTATCCAATTCTTAAAAGGAGTGTCACAGTTCTGGCACAGAAATACTGAACCATTTGAAAAAAAAAAAAAGAACCAAGAAGAGATTATAGTTCTTAAAAATCTGATCAGTATCTTACCTAAAGAAACAGATAAAGTCATCATAAGAGCATTCGAAAAGAAAAGTCCAGAAAGAATGGTGAGGGGCCTCACTAGTAAGAAAGAGGGCCTTTTGAAGAGATTACAGCGCAGTGGTATGAGCCAACTCACCCCACACAGTTATCCACATAGGGATGGTTGTCTTTGCCAGACCTTTTCCTAAATATATTGGCTATTATCTCCAGACACTGGACTTCTTTAGAGACTCAAGGGGAAAGATGCAGCATGTCCCACAAATGAGTGAGGACCAATATATAATATACAGTCGTTTTGGCAACAAGAGATGGAAAATTGATTCAAACTGGCTTACACAGGGGTTGGCAAACAACAGCCTGCAGGTTGGCCACCTGTTTTACTGGAACACATTGACATGTTCCCTTTTGGCAAAAGAAACAGTGGTTTTCCCCCTGGGTACAGAATATAAAATTTCACGCAGATTGTGACAATTTAGGACACGTGTTTATCACTGGACCAGGATGGCTGCCAGATAAGTGCTGGGCACGTTTCTGGCCCACGTGGAAGCCTCTGTGGAGGCTGGAAAACAACAGCAATGAGTTGTGCAGAGTGTTTGGTAAGTTAGTGTGTAACGGCTTCCAGCCAGCTGGACCCCCAGAGTGTAGTAGCCCTGGGAACCTCTCCTCGTCTCCACATCTAAATCTTTGCTTCTCTCTCTCTGATTCACGTTTTGTTTTGGCTTTTTTCTCTATCTGGTTTCTCTCACCTCTCTCGAAACACAGCAGAAAATACAACTGTAAGTATCTCAGATGTTGTTAGTCTTCCTAAACTAATAGCTAGTTTTGTTTTTAGACTTATTTTCAAGTTTTTAGAGATAGCTTTCAATTATCCCCATCAAGGTTAGAATCATCCCTCAGTAGGAAGTGGGGTCATATTCTAAGGAGTTCTCTCTATACCTACAGGAGCAGGTCGATTCTACAAGAGAGAGATGATAGGCAGGTAAGCTCATGGGAATTGACTAAACAAATTATTTCTTTATGTGAGACATAGGTCAATATTTTCCCCTCTAAGTGACTGATTGCATTAGGAGTTGTTTAGACACGATAATGTGTCTTTCATATGAAACTGCAAAGACAGGAATGTGGTTTGGCATTTCTTGAATACAGTACTGCCCTGGCCTCCATGGTCCAAGATGGCAGCAAGTATGTCTGCAGCCCTAGGAGCAGAAGGGAGGGGCTGAGGAAGGGCAAGAGGCACACACCAACTGTCACTTTGGGAAAGTTCCAGAAGACAACATATCCAAGTTGGGCAACCCTAATCTCAAACTCTGAAATGCTCCCAAACTGGAAATGGTTTGAACACTGAAATGACACCACTGCTGGAAAATCCCACATTATGAAACATCACTTATGCTCCAAATTGCTACTAATACTCCATAAAATTGCCTAAGGCTAGGTGTACCTGAAAAACAAATTAATTTTATTATTCACAAATCATATCAAGTTCAAGGTCATCCTCAGCTATATTGTGACTTTAAGAATAATTTAAAAACAAACAAACAAAAAACCCAAATAGTCAACGTTCTGAAAAATCCTTTGGTCCCAAGGACTTTGGATAAGGGAAAGTCCCCCTGTCCTTCTTCCTCCTAGTCCCTTCCATGGAAACAGCCTCTTTCTTTTTCATGGACATCAGTTTGCTCAACTTAAAAAAAAATCCGAGTTTCTATTACTACAGAGTTAGAAAACACACACTAAAGGACCAATAGCCTATCTGTACACTGTACATTCATTTTCAAGCTATGTAAGACTAAAACCATTTCTTTAAAACAATGTTGTTTATTTTTGTTTGTTTGTTTGTTTTTATATCTCAAAGCTTCCCCTCTCACCCCTCTTCAGGGTTCCTTCCCACCGTTCCCCACCCACCCCTCCTCTACTGCTTGCCATGAGATGCAGGTAGCTCTCCCATGGATGGCAGACAGCCAAGGCATATCAAGTTGCAGTGAGACTAGGCACCTCCTCTTCTATTAAGCCTGGATGAGGCAAGGAGGAAAGGGCCCTCAAAACAGACAAAAGAGCCAGAGACAGACTCTGCTCTCACTGTGAGGTGTCTCACATGAAGACCAAGTTACACAATCATCACATATGTGCTGGGTCAGCCCCTCTATTAAAAACTTTTATGATGTGGGTTTTTTCTTTAATGTTATGTGCATCAGCGTTTTGTTCAAGTGTATGTCTGTGCACCACTTGCGTGGCCAGAACCGGGTGCTGGGTCTCCTGGAACCTCCGTGTGAGTGCTGGGAATTGAACCAGGGTCCTTTGGAAGGACAGTCAGGGCTTTTATGCTGAGCCATCTCTCCAGCCCCCAAAGCATTTCATGTTTATTTAGTTTATTTTATGTTAACAAATATTAATTGTTTCTGTTCCTAAAGTACAAAGGGATATTCTGGCCTAGTTATATGTGGTAGGAAGATCACATCAAGAATTGATTTTTTTGTTATAGTTGGATGCAGGATGTCTCCCGGA